ACTTGTGAAGTATTTAAATCCTCCTAATTTATCAATTTGATCATCAATATGCAGCAATGATTTTTTATGGTAATTGCGTTGAACTGCCTATAGTCGACGCACATCCTGTAGTCCCCATCCTTTTTCTTAACTAGTGTAATGGGGCTGGCATACGGAGAGCTAGATTTACGAATGATTTTGTTATCGAATAGTTCATAAATCATATTTCTAAGAATCTTTTTTTCTATGCCAGGGATTCGATAAGGATGACGCACAACTGGCGTGTCAACAAAACATTTTTTCCATTTCTATAGCTTTCGTATTTCCTAAATCTTTCAAGGACGATGAAATGCAGTCCGAGAAATCATGCAACAAAGAGATGCAATCCTACTTATCAGCCTCAAAAATCGCACCTATCTTTATATTATTCAGATCCAAGCCGTTGTCGTAAACTTCATTAAGGTTCACAAACAGGTTTTCGGTGGCAGGCAACCTATATAAGATTAATCGGTTCTCACGTTAAGTCATAACCACGTGTTTTTGGCTAATAAAATCTCTTCCGACCAATAAATCGTGTTTCAAGTATTTGTCCGGAACAATTATGGCACTCACTACTGCCGAAACTCCCTGTATACTAGCGGTGATCTTGCAAAACGATGTACTGTTCAAAAAGGTGCCCATGAAACTATATAGCGTCATATCTTTTGAATCCGTACGAAGAAGCCTAAGTTTTTTAACGAGCGAAGTGTGTTAGAACTGCCAGAGTCTATTAAACAGTTGGTTTTCTTTCGGCAAATTCGTGCAATTTGCAAAAAAATATTAGGACCCACACTTCTTAATACTTCAACTTGTTGCACTTCCTTATGCGGAAAAGGGTACTTTTCTTGAATATGCCCCAATTTTTTACAATTGGTACATTCCACGCGTGGCTTTCTGCAGTTAAATGAAATACTGCCCGAAGTACCGCAATTAAAACATGTTGGTCGCGTACCTGAAGGCTTATCAACTTCCCTTTTATTATGATCACCATAATCAGACCTGGAAGACGTTGATGATTGAAATTTTCCACTATTAAGATGAAAAGTTGTTCTTTCTTGAAGCATTTCGCCTACAGTGATTGAATAAGCATATAAAGCGTTTGCATCCGTATATGTTGTGCAGCCCTGACCGTTCTTGCTATGTTTTCTCTCCTAAATTTTGCCCCAGTGTTGCTTCGTAGTTAGCGGCATCCACAAATAATTTAGAAAATGGAACCGACTTACGAAAATGCTGGCTTATTGATTTTTTTATTTCATCCCCACTGGTGTCATACCCCACATTTTCGTCGTGCCACTGACGAGCATTGTCTCGTAATCTTCCTGAAATCAATCGTAAAATGGTGTCGTCAATCCAGTGATAGCGTTCTGACAAACGGTCAACTTTATCCAACCACATATCCACAATCGCATCGTCCCGATTAGGATGAAACATCGGCACTAAGAGTTCATTTCCCGCACGAATAAACGCGGGGCGTCGTTCAACTCTTTTCTTTATAGTTTTTCTTTAGGTCGATCTATCGGAAGAGGCCGAACTCGAACCGTAGTTGTCACTTTCACTCGAGGATTCCTTTCGACTCCGTTTTCCACTTTTATTCCGTGATTTCGATTTCTCCATGACGGATAACAATCTTAACTTATTTTGAAGTATCCCACCGCTGCCTTGAAAGAAATGAAAGAAAATACGGGTACTCCGAATTATTCCTATATATTCCGAAATTACATTCGCTCAATACTACATCTAATTCTCAACTAACTCAAAAAATATCCGTCGCTCCGTACTATTGACATCCATCACTCCACATAAAAACACTGGCTACGGATACGAGGTCTCGTCGATAAGTTCTAGCATAAGCAACTATATCGAGTAATATAAAATGTGACGTACTGATAAGGAAATATTGATATAGTAACAATAATAACATTTGTATTCCTACTTCACGGTTCGCAGCTCAAGTGGCTGGATGGATTTTGGCATATAAAGTTCTCCAGATTTGTCTTGACCATCCAAGATGGTGGATTTTATTTGAAAATTCGCTCATGGCTTGGTGAGATAATAATTAATATATAAAAAATAGTACGAAGTTTTGTCTTTCTTAGACTGGCAGAATTCATCATTTTGCCTCTACGGAAAACATGCTCTGCTATAGCAGCAAAGGAGGAATATTGATAACTGAGTGACTTAAAATGAAAGAAATATATGAGACAATATTACTGTAACATGAGTGAAACAAATTCATTCAAATTATCAACACTTAAGTATGACATTTTCATTTCTGATTCTTGGAACTCTTATGTTATAAACATCTCATCAGATGTTCATCATCGGCTTTGATTTGGTTTTAGATCCGGTATGTGTGAAAAAGTCATAAAAGGTAATTAAATGGCAGCCACAAAATCCAGCTTCTCAGTTATGAATAGCTCATCGACGCCATTTATTCTGGAAACGCGCACACATTATTTCGAATTTTAAGTTCTTTCTCAGAACCAGAGCTGTTGTAAATAGTTGAAGATCAGTTTGGAACAGTTCCGAGTTTGTTGGAACAGAGAATCAGGTCGGTTTTTTTTTGGAAGGCTAATCTCAATCTGCGAATGCGATGTTCAGTTCAGACCTAGTTCGATAGCATGTTGGAACAAAGTTTCGAAGATAATTCAAAGTTCCACAACTACCCACTCAAAATCAATTGACTTTACCAGTATACGAAGGTTGATCCTTATGATTCGCCCCTGATCCCTTCTGTGTCATTGAGTATTTTTTCACGACCACCAGTATGACTCCATGATGGGCTTTTTTCAGTACCATTGAAAATATTATAGTTTATATTTGCTTGCATTCCCGGTCCTCATTTTCTTTACCGAACCAACCAAGTAGGCAGAAGCCTATCAGGTCACCGCATCTGTTGTAAGGAGCTTAAAAAAAGATTGTTAATCCGATTCTTGAACTGCCTAAGGTTACTAGAACTGAGAAAATCCTCCTCAGGTAGATTATTCCACAATCTCGATACCCATGGGATAAAGGAGCGGTCGTATGGGCCAGTTCTGGATGTACGAAGCTCCACACGGTTAGGACGGGAAGTTGAAGTTAGGCGGGTCTGTCTGGCATTCACATCGCGCCCATTGACATAGCGGTAGAAGAGGGCTATGTCGCCGACGGTCCGTCGGTGCGATAGAGACCCAAGACTGTCCGTTACAGAGGAGTCATCGATCAGTATCGAGAATGGATAATGAGTCTGAGTGGCAGTACTCCAAATATGTGAGCAGTACTTGATGCTGGGTTCCATCTGCGTCTTGAACAGTGCGAAGGTTTTGTGGAAAACAGTATTTCTTAGACCTGAACAAGTGTGCACGTCCCAGATCAACTCCTTCGTGATCTGGAATCCGCAGAACTGGAGTATCCATCAAAACCGGATGAACGCTAGGGCGCTTCTTGTTAGTCGAGGTTCAGTATTGTGTTTTAATAGTATTGAACTGTGCCACATTGTTGCGTCCCCAGGCAATGATTATTTTCAGGTCGTTGATATAAAAGAGGAACAATGTCGAAGCCAAGACCGATCCCTAGGAGACACCCGTGTTGACATTGCGGCAAAGTTTCACTGAAAGGCCAAGTTTGCATAAGAGGGCCGCTTCCAACAGCTGATTTAACGCCTTCGTTATGTCAAGATCAACGACGTAAGCCTCATCTTAACACTGAATGAGTTTATTTTACAGCTGAGTTACGTAATCCACAATAGACCAAAGAGTCGCAGTGGAGGATCGTTATTGATGCACTCACAAGAAACCTAACGTAAGCTAGGAGGTTACCTTGTGGACCTTGTGGAAGGTGTTGCATTCGTAAGATACCTGGAAGAGACGCGAAAAAACTGGAGTAAGCTACACTGCACATATCTTTAGTACAACGGTAGAAATCAAATTCGGACCAAAAGCTGTGTTGATGTCGAGCGACAAGAGCACCCGTCTTACGGTCTCATTCTTGAAGATTACTTACCTTTTCAATCGACGGCAGTCGGGCATTTGGGGAGGGGGGAGGCTTTCATGATTAAGTTGGAGGCAATGGTCTTGGGCAAGCCTTAGCCTTTGAGTTGGTTACAATCGTTCCATCATCGCACGAAATGGGTGGAAGGGGACTCTTTGAAGTGTGTTCTCTTCTATCTGCTTGGCCAGAATCCAGAAAAACTGACTGTTAATGCGCTGCAACATCACCTTTGTTGTTCTCTACAGTGGAAATATGCAAAAAGCTTCTGTATGCCTTGATGTTTTGCCGACGAGCAGTGTCGCAGTATTTGTTGAACCAGCCGTTGCGACACTTTCTCTGCATGAGGGATACGAGTATATTCTTCTACATCAATGTGGATATTTTCTGTTACTCACGATTCTATTCCTTGTTGCGGTTCCGTATAACGCCAAGATCAAGAAATGCCATCATTATAATTTTAAGATGGCGCAGCGTAAAACCAGCAAATTTCAGGACTTAGGGTAAGGCGTTCCTGCTATCAAAAGAGGTCCAGTCCTCCTAACCGATAATTGAGAATGGAGTTCCCTTTTTGATGTACCAGACATGTCACCCTCCCTCATCGTTCCTAAAGCTCCAAGTTCTTCAAGAACGCGAAAGCTCATTCATAATTACAATAGTGTGGTATCGCTCCTTTCAGGCTACTGTCGTACTTCAGAAAGGCGACCGTGGTCGACAAAAAAAAAAGAAATTTTAATATATGTGGTTGGTTTTATTTAATAGTTGGCCAGTCAAAGAGTCCTATTAGCATGAAAACCACATGATAAGTTTTAAGTAATATGTAGAGTGTTTTCCAACAATGCAAGAAAAGTAGGTTTTTCGGTTGCGCCTTTAGGAACCTATAAATTTATATCATAGCATATAGAAGAAAGGGCCTACGTGTCATTTTTCTAAGAGCTATTTGTGTTCTACATGAACTACACAGATCCCTCGAATGCCTTGGAACACCCTCTCAAGTAAGTGTTCATCTTTTTTAGCGTACGATGTATACTTAACGCTGCTTTTAGTCAGTTTGAAGATCAATTTAGAAATTTTATGTGAAGCCACACAAACCATCAGGGGAAGAACATTACAAAAACTGAACTTACCTAAAGATTACGAAGCTTTCCACGATGAAGACGTCCCTGAACTGGAGCAGGCATTGTTCAATGAGGTCAGGAGGTGCAATCTATGTATGGAATTTTTATTGAGGTAACTGAAATGCATGTACTGTACTAGAAAACGACCGATACCTATATTTTTATCGGCGTATTGATAATATCGGCCTATTTTACCAATATATAAATCGACCGGTATGATTGCCCACAATACGATATAGGCCGGTCGAAATAAGTTACTAAGCTTTAATTGCTAAAGCTATTGAATCAGAAGGTCGAAATAAGTCATAATACATTCAAGTATATTTTCATTAGTTGTCTCCAGAAGACACACCTTTGTTTTTTCCATAAGACACAAACTGCACTATCGACTTTTGAATTCGTTGGAATTTTTATCATAATATCACTGGTACCATTTAGTTTTTCGCTTCTGCAACATTCTTATAATAATCTTGGTGCAATCAAATTAGAGCAGATAAAACACGGTACAAACTGGATATAGAATAGAATAGCTCAGAACTTGAAAAGCACATTTTCGCAAGACCAGGTTTCAAGATGCAAACAGTTGTTTCCAGCAACTGAGTTTTCATGATCGAGTAACAATTTCTAACCTAAATTCACTAGACTTCTTGCTTTATCTTCTTACATTGAAGCAGCCGCGCAGGAGCTCAAAAAAACTCTGTTAATCCGGTTTGTGAACGGCCTAACTTTAGTAGGACCGAGAAAAGCCTGATCAGGCATATTGTTCCACAATATCGACACCCTAGGGACAAAGTAGCGGTCGTATCGGCCATTTCTGGATGCATGAAGTTTGGCAAGCTTGGGATGGGAGGCCGATGTCAGGTGGGTCTGTCTGACTAGCACATCACGCGGCGACATCTTGGAGGAGATTTCTGAGGAGTAAAGCTCGTTGGCGTAGTGGTAGGAGAGATCTAGATCGCCAACGGCCCGCCGGTGCAGGATCTCGGGGCTGTCCGCTCGAGAAGAATCATTGAGCATGGCTAATGTGTTCGGATCGACAGCACCCCAAACATGTGAACAATACTTACAGTCTCATCTGGCACTTGTACATAGCAATGGGGTCATGTGGTGAAAAGTACTCCTTAGCCTCAAGCAAGTAGCCTAGCTTTTTCCCAGCAGCTGCGCTAATAACGAGAAGTGTTCATGCAAGATCAAGTCGTCAGTTATCTGGACTCCGACCATCCGAAATAAGCGGTACTTTAGTAGAACTCAGCCATCCGTAGAAACCGGATGAGCGCTGGGACGCTTCTTGTTAGTCAAGGTACGAAAGAATGATTCTCGTATCTACTTGGTGTTTACGTGCGCACCTGTTACGTATGAATCGTAGGATGTAGGATTTCTAAGAATACGTCAATTTGTAACTAGTTAACTTTCGCTCACTTCATGCTCACTTGTAGCAAGCGCGGAATAAACTATTTGCACACTGACATACTTAGTCAACGAGTTGACATTTTAAAGGCGTTTTTGGCATTATATAGGTTTTTTATTTAATAACCCTGTACCCACTACCATTGAGGAAAACCTGCCGAAAATTGGATACGTTTGATTTGATTTCTTTCACTGTCACCATTATACATCTTAAAAGTAATTTGAAGAAGTATATCAATATATAAAAACATAATATGTTGTCTTCCAGTGATTTTTTCCTCAAGAGATGATGAGGAATGTGATAGTATTATTCGATATAAAATGTAACTAAAATGAGAATTTCGATTAATATTCTTTTAGCTGGAGGTAGCTGGAGCTGGTCTGTAGCCCTTCAATTTACCTGTCATAAACAACACCACTGAACATGTAGATTATACAACCCTGACGTATTTTGGGACCTCGCATTTTACCTGGAGGCCAATGTTTGAAATGAGATAATATAATCATTGAAAGTGGGAGCGGCTCTTTTACCGGGAAACAATATTCCAGAACGTTAGTAGACAAGCCAGATGTGTTGGTGATCTCGCCATCGTCCACCAGTCTCGTTTATAAAGGCGATGTTAACTTTGCAATAGAGCGTTTGGTGGTATGAAAAATCTAGAGACATATTAATTTGCGGGAAAAAGATTCATTGACTAATTATTTGATAAATGTGAAAACACACTTAAAAACTGCCGGAAAAGGTAATAGAACACTTTTTACGAGCTATTCCATTTCCTCATTTCGAGAATTGGGCTCCTGGAAGTAGTGATGGCTCTAGAGGCATCACCTGATATTTTTGTTAGCTGAAACTGTCATTTTCATAATTTTTTTTTGTTCTGCATTGTTGAACCGAATGAAACGGATTTTAAAACAGGAGACAGACTAGTTTAAATGATCCTCCATGTTTGCCTGGCTGATCAAACCGCATGTATTCAAAATACTTCATTATTGTAAACATTTCGGTCCCAACGGTAACGTTCTTCAATACAAAGTTGACATTTTTTTGAAAATATATTTTCTTCAAAAGACATAAGCAAAAAGTATTTTTGTTTCTTCTAGAATTCATGAAGATATGAAGCATATATTTTCTATGACTACATTGCTGCAAACAGCTGCAACTCTATTCATGGTAGCTTCTAACATAATAATAGTGTCCACGTTGTCTACCGCTCAGCCGGAATTCTGGTGTATAGTGCACTGGGTTATAGCTTGTATCATCGAACTTCACATGATTTGCCATTTTGGAAGCGGAGTTACTGAAATGGTAGGCTTATTTACAGTTGAACTCATTTATTGATAGGGTCCGACCGAAGCTTAAGCTGTCACTTCGACCAGATTAAGTTAAAGAATACACATTCAGCCCGAAAGGCCAGAGGTTCGCTTGACCGATCCCCACGTTACTCTTGAGACGTAGCTAATTATTACTTAGATGCAAGATGCGTGCATCGGCTTAGATATGACAAGTGTGCTTAGCAGACCTGCAACATCAGGCCTTTTACTTACTATAGAATGTTTTTATCAGTTTCTTGAAAAATAGATCGTTGGTCGTGAATTACTGCTTAGGAAATATTTTCTCTAATAATTATAAATTTGCAGTATTAATGTGTATCATACATTATTGAAATAAGAGTCGAAAACTTCTTCACCTAACTTGTGGAAAGTCCAAGGGACGAAACGTAATATTTAAATTCTGATTCTGCCGCTTTAAAACGGACATGTTGATGTGGATTTTTTTATAAGATCCCACGTTAAATAAAGTCAATAATAAATAAGAACGATTCTGAAAAAGTTCCGCTTTTTTCTGCCTCCTGAAGCACTTCAAATTCCTAGTGCTACTTTCATAGTTACCTAAAAGCGCAACCTTGTCTCTGTTTAACTAACTCCAGTATCTCTTACCATTTCTGAGATCTTAATGGTGAGAGTCCAATTTGAAACAACCGGTGCATGACCAGATTTATTTTGTTTTAGTGCTTTTATTTTAGACGTACCACCTACGAGTGTGAGTGGTACAGTTGCAGCAAGAGGTTCAAGACGTGCATGTTAATGATGATGATCCGTATGGATAGGCCAATGTATCTGACTGCTGGAGATTTTTTGCCTTTGACTCATAATACTACTATTAGCGTAAGTTTTTTCAGCACAGGTATCTTCGGGATTGTTTCTTAGGTCATATTAGGTATTCCAAAAGATTTTTTTACTGTACTTTATTCATTTCTGGCAGCATGTGAGTTATATTTGCATAGATTTTTGTCTTCAAAGATTGCATCACTTAGATAATTCTGAATATAACCTCTCCTCACTTGTGCCTGATATTAATTAGTATGCAAAAATTGTTTGGCTTGGATAATCAAAGAGTCAGAAATAATGACAAATCCGGGATATTGATATGAATGTAATAATAGACAAATCGTAAAAATGTGCTTCCTATAATTACAACTTCCATATATTCCAGGTTGTCAGGGCAGCGTATTCCTATGCAGCAATGTTTAGAAATGTGGGATGAAGGCTGGTGCCAACTGATATATAATATACCACCTATACTTGACTTTATAAAATAAAATAAAAGCTAATAAATACATTTACTATATTCCGAATATATTATACAAATTTGCTTCTAGTTGTGATTTATCATGATATTGTACCCCAAGTTCATAGCTTCATGCATATTGTGTCCTTGTCTATATCGCCATAAAAGAATCAATCAATCAAAACATTGGACTCAACGTTGTTTTTGAATTTGTGGTGAATGTGCTATGTTTGAGTGCTAAATTGAGTGATACGAACAAGGGAGCAAGAGTTCAGCTTGAATTGCTGTTCAGCAATGATGATCATTGTGCGATGTGTAGTTGAAAAGAACTTGGATTGCTCTGATTTTCATTTACTCACAAGGAACAAAATGTTATATTTGCATTTATGTTGAATGTGCCTCACTGTCCACCATGCAATCAACGCATTGATCTCCTTTGATCATTTTGGAAATGTACAGCGAGTTACCTAGTGAGTCAATCGGAATGAAACATTCCACAGTTGTATTCTAGATGCACTTATTTATTTTACTAATTAACAGTCATCGATAAGTTTTTAAATGTTTGGTCCAGCCGTTCGTGTACAAATATCTGTAAGTATATTTCGGTAACTCGAAACATGCAAAATAAATTTCTTTAATATTCCCGAAACCTTTACTCTTCTGAGAAACTTGCCTAACGGTCGATAGAAAAATACGTGTTATTGCTATGTGTCTGGCAGATTTTTGTTGCTTTCCAAGTATCGATAGTCTATAGCGAGTGTGCCAGCTTAGAGCGATCGTCTAAGAAATTATGGAAAATATACTGCAAGACAAAGTTGAGAATCTCATAACAGGGATTATGAGCTATTTTCGGAGGCACAATCTAAGCTCATGAACAAGTTTGAGGAAGACGCAGAACAGACTGCCAGACAAGCACCAACTCCTTACGCAACAGTTGCCTAAATAAGAAATGTGAATATTATTATAGAACCGAAAAATATGAATCAGTCCCACACTGAGACAAGAAACACTATCCGTCGGAATGTTAATCCTATTGAAAATAATATAAAATTTTCTCAAAAAATGTTAAGCATGGTGGTTTGGTCATTATATGTGATGATCCAAATGACGCTAGCAGACTTCAGAAACACGCTTCTCAACATATGTCTGAAGAATACGTATACAATACTCGCATCAAGGAAGTTGAAAAGCAAAATCCGAAGGTGAGACGATTTCTAACGACAAATTGGTTCAATGTTGACATCTCAAAATCGTATGTTTGGCAAATCTAGTGAATGCGGGGTTCTAAAGGTATGGCCAACGATAAAGCGAGCTGAAATTCACAAAATGTTTTGGAAGTGGACCCTGTTACGTATTCTACTTTGTTAGATAAAGGTAATGTGTTAGTTAATGTTGACAGTTGTATGGTGTACGATGCCCTAAAACTAAAAATTAGTTTTAAATGTTGTGGTTTAAATCACTAAGCAAAAGACTGTAAAAGAACTGAGCAAGTCTGTGTGAAATGTGCGGGAAGTCATAATATTTCTGATTGGAACTCTGTTCAACTGAAATGTATTAATTGTATTTCTGCCAGAAATCCTGAAGCAGAATATGTGGCTTGGGAGGTAGATAAATGTTGTCATTAGAAGTCGAATTTGAAGAAATATAAAAAGCTTCTTTTAGGTGCAGAATAGCAATTAAATGATAGTATTACCAGAACTGTTATTGATAATGTTGAGTATGAAGAGAATTTTACAATATACTATCAAAATGTTAGAGGTTTGAGGACCAAAACAAATGCGCTTCTAAATGTGACTTATGCTTCTACTTACGATCTTCATGCATTGAGTGAGACTTATAACAGTATCTTTGATGCTGAATTGATCAGTAGTGATTATAATATTTTCCCTAAAGGCGTATGAAGTGAAACAAGTTGATTTCAACTTTACACGTGGACTTTCTGCCGTTGGTATCGTTGGCGTCAAATCACAACTTTTTGGATCAGCAGTGTACATCATTCCTGTCAATATACCACCTAATTTATCAGCTCCTACATATGATCACCTATTCATACATTAACCACATCAATGGCAACACTTATAGTAATAACTATATAGTAGCACTCAATAATTTGAATAACTTTATCAGTCTTGAACAAACAACCATACACAAAACTCAAATGGCCGTATTCTTGACTTAGTCTTTTGCAAAAATGATCTGAAAGTGATTCCAGCTTAAGGCGTTTTACTACCAGTTGATAACCATCACCCCCCCGCTTGAACTATCATTCATGTTAGGGAATGTTTTATGTAGGTTTGACTTAAATGAAACTCCAAGATATAATTACAGAAGAGCAGATATAAGTACAAGTACAATACAAGTATTATATGCCGATATAACAGATCTTGACTTTACTTCTACTCGTATATACTCAATCAATGATATCAACCAGGCGTCTGATAAGTTTTACGAAATATTATACTCAGCAATTTATCGAAGCGTGCCTTGAACATTGCCAAGAAACAATTCAAATCCACCCTGGCTTAGTTCATCTAGTTCATCTATAAGTACTATAATAAAAAGAACACATAATCCACAAGACTGTCAAACTTAGGAGTTTGCGAAGAAGTATAAAAATGACCATTGATATGGCATACCAAGGATATACTGCTAATTTGGAAAGGAACATAACTGCTAATCCTCAATAATTTTGGTTATTTACAGAGTCTCGGAAAAATACTTCAAGTATTCCTAACGCTATGGTGTTCAATGACAAGCAACTTGATATGCCTCAAGATATTGTCTATGCTTTCTCACATTTTCTTCAATCAACTTACATTACCTCAGCAGACTTTCAACCTGCAATCTCAGATAACAATCCTTTTTTGCCATTGAATCTGGCAGGAGTTACGCACAAACAGGTCATTGAAGCTATGAAAAAAATTCAGCCTAAATTATCTGTCACTGCAGATGGAATACCTGCATTTTTGTTAAAGGACTGCGCTGTCGTTATAGCTGAGCCTTTGGTACATCTTTTCAATGTCTCTGAAAACGCCTACGTTCCCTAATTTTTGCCCATGTTAAGCGCGAGATGTCACCCAGCCAGCTCGGGTTCTTCCAAGAAAGGTCAATGGTAACTAATTTAGCATGCTGCAAACAATTTTGCTCGGAAACTATTGATAAGGGAGGACAAGCAGATGTTGCGTATGTATATTTTTGAAAGCCTTCGATAAACTAGATCATGGCATTTTGTTGAATAAATTAGCAGCGCGAGGATTGAGTCATCAATTTTTGTGCTTTCTTAATTCATATCTGACAGATAGATGTTTGAGAGTAGAATATAGAGGTTTTACTTCCATTGAAATTACACCTCCTTCAGGTATACCGCAAGGGTCTGCATTTGGCCCCTACTGTTTCTGATTTTTACTGATGATGTTAGTGAACTGCAGAGAAGCTGTCTACTTCATGCTGATCATTCAAGGATATTTTGTAAAATGTCTACCAACCGCGACTGTCACATACTGCAAAATAATTTAGAGGCTCTTAACAAATACTGCCAAAGTTACAATCTGTATCTTATTGGAGATAAATGTTGTACTATGTCTATCATGCGCATGCTTGCTCCGACGCATGCTGTTTACACCGTTGATAAAGTAACGCTAAAATTAAAAAAAATTTTTTACCTTGTTTTATAAAGTATCCTCCCGACAAGTATTTCAGTGCGGACCTGTATTTGATCGTGAGGTCCCCTGTGAGGTCTTAAGTCACCTGATTCACGAGCCCGTTGTACTACATTAACAAAGGCACGAGGGGTTGGTTGCACTCGATTGGGAAACCGATCCGCATAAACATGTGCCATTTTTTATTTCGTTTGAGCCACGCAACAGACACTATTCACACGCGACACTGACACTGACTGTATGTATAACTGAACTGAATAAAATAATAAACTGTACACAAACATCGTTCCAAATTCTTTCGCTTTTTTGTTTCCGATGCGATGAACCGGTAAGGCGGATTATATCCGTTGTTGCCAAACACGAGCACATGATATTGAGACAGGGCGGTACTCAAACTTCCAAAGGGCTATAACTTTGTTACTTTAATTTCACCAGAAAAATGGTAAAGGAAAAAAACATTTCTTTTGATCAGATCTATTCACTGTTAAAATAAATGACTCAACTTCGAAGTCACCCTGTATATATATATAAGTATTATCCAGCACTGCCAAACCCTTCCTGGCGGCCCTAACTTATGCTAGATACCTTAAGCAAGTTGTCCCTGTATACATTGATTCCTGCCTTCACTTATCCAAATTTCAAATATGAAATCAGGTATTAACTTTACAGCATGCTACTTCAAAGATTCAAATAAAATTGATGTGGAGTCTACGCGGTTATATTGTTTATTATTTATCCATTTATTTATATTTATTTATACACCACTCAGCAGCAACAACCATTTACAAAGTAGGACATAGTCCCGACTTCAAAAATACACAATTATCTCATATGACAAACAAGAATAGGCAGTTCAGATGCAAAGGTGCCATCTTCAAATATTTACAAATATCATAGCAATACATAGACAAAACCTCACAGAAATATATCCAACTGTCAGCAATGTCATTAGCGTGTACATGAGTAAAATAGAGAAAAAAAAAGATTCTTGTTCTAAGAGAAAAATAAAATGTATTTCATTATCTAGACCTTAAACGGGGACAAGAAAATTAAATTTATGCAGTATATTGCAATATGACACGCACGAAATTAGCGGAGCTCCTATCACGCCTGTTCCTAAGACTTTCTAGATATACGGCTTTTTCTGAAATTTTTTTTAGAGTATCCCATTGGCGGGTAACTGAATTTCTTGAAATGTGCGTACTTCAAAAGCCATAATCCAGAATTTATAGAAAGGCTGCCAAATAGTAGCTTGATATCAAGCTTTGAACGAACAGGTGAAGTATACAGGGTTATCCAAATTAAGTGTCCACCATTAGTAACTTTGTT